CCTGCTGAGCCAGGTTCTCCCCTGCTTGTTTCTGCCTCGTTTAAAAGGACAACATTGAGTCGAGATTTGTCGTAGAAAAGCTCTCTAGGAAATGTAGTGGTTGGAGGTGCTTTTGGCAGTCTTAAATCACCTCCCAGCCTCTTATTTTTGTGTATGCGCTGCCTCACGGCGCATTGCACAAACAAGGGCAACAGTTTTCCTATAAAGATGAACCCATGAGCATAGATGTTGAGGGTGAATGAGAAATAAATTATAAATAGAGGGAAAGGTTGCATCTGAGTGCTGCAATTTTAAAGGGACGAGCGTGGGGGGATGTTGGGGGGGAGGATCTGGCCCCAAACTCGTGGGGTGGAGGAGCTGGGTTAATGGGGGAAGGGGCAACTCTCGCTTCCAGGTTCATCAGAGAGCGGAGGAATGCGTGCGAGCGCTCCGGCTCTTCGAGGACATCAGCAGTGGTAAATCTGTCCCAAATGTTCTTCACCAGGACTTTGATCTCTCCGTGCTGAAGGTACCTGGGTCTGTCTGTGCTGAAGGACCAGCCGGGGGATGGTTTGGCTGATGGGGGGGTCTGGGTGCCCTTTGCTGGCAGGATCAGTCCTCGTTGCGTGAGACTTTTCCTCCTGGGACAAGCGGGGTCTGTGCAGAGCCACAGCCTTCCACGTCTCGGCTTCTTGGTGCCCCTCTTCTCCTTTTGCTCCCCCATGCATGCCGGGGAAGCCAGGTCCCATTGCAACGGCAGTGAAAACGGGACACAGTGTCCCTTGCAGAGGGCAGAGCAGTGGGGCTTTGCTGATCTTCTTCCCTTGGCTTTTTCTTCCCTAATTAGGCACCTTCTGCAGCGATGTTTGGGCACAGGCTCCTCAGCTTTTTCCTTTTTGCAGGACAGCATTGATCTGACCAAAGTCGCCGTCATGGGCCATTCCTTCGGCGGGGTGACAGCAGTGCTGGCCTTGGTGAAAGAGCCTGGCTTCAGGTAAGCCGCGGCAGGGACGAGGAGCCGCAGGAAGCTCCGGGGACACGTGGCTCATCCCAGTGGGAAGGGAAGCTGTGGCGTGGGTGGCAGCGCCGGGCGTCCGTCCTGCTGCAGGTGCGCGGTGGCTCTCGATGCCTGGATGTTCCCCCTGGAGAACGCGCTGTACCCGGAGGTGCCCAAGCCCGTGCTCTTCATCAACACCGAGAAGTTCCAGACACCAGAATGCCGGTACCCTCCCGGGAGCACCTACGAGCTGTGTCCCAGTAGGAGGACCTCTCCCCTACTCCCACTGAAGCAGATCCCTTCCCTGTCCCAGGGGATCCGTGCATCAGAGCCAGACCGACTTCACCTTTCTCACCGGGAAGCTCATCAGCCGCATCTTCGGCGCAAGGGGGACCCTCGACCCCTACAAGTGTCTGGACATCACCAGCTGGGCGACTCTGGCCTTCCTGCAAAGGCATCTCGGTACGGCACGGGGTGGAGGGCACGTTGGCCAGGGGATGGGAGGGCACGAGAGCTCCCCAGCTTGCAGGGGGCTGCAGGGTGGCCGCTGCCTCCCTGGACTTGGGTTTGGTGCTTCCCATCCCGTTGCACAAAACAAAGGGGTCCGGCGGCTGCTCCTCCTTTACGCCTGGAGTTGGGCTGATAATCGCTGTAGTAACCCCGTCACCATCTCTGCCCCGTGCAGACCTGGAAGAGGAGTTCGATCAATGGGACAAGCTTCTTGAAGGCATCGGAGACTCGGTTGTTCCAGAAGCACCATTCTGCCGCTCCAACCTGTAGCCTGCTCCGAGGTCACCGGCGGGAGCCAGGAACCGGTAAAGCAGCTGCTTCTTGTCCAAAATGAGCCGTGCAGGAGCCAACAAGGGCAGGAGGACCCATGGGGACACCAGGACCTGGGGGCCATGCTCGTAGGACGTCTGGTGGCCGGGGTGCTCAGCGAGCGTGCCGGGAGAGCCCTCCATGCTCAAGCGCTGCCTGTTGTGGCTGCTGCCTTCAGCGAGGGCTGTGGGTCTAAGGGAATAAAATCCCCGGGGACAAAGACTGAGTTGACTGTCACTTGGACCCGAGGTGACACCCTTCTTGCACGCAGGGGGTAGGTGGGCATCGATCCCTCGCTGGGCCTGGCTAGATCTGCTGCAGCTGTGGCACATCTGGCAGGAGCAGGCAGGGGGGTCGTTCATCGTGGGTTGGGGGTAGTTCAACCACGGCCAAAAGAACCAGCGCAAAGAGATGCAGCATCAGGGCTCCAAGCAGAAAGGTAATGAAAATCTTATCGTCGTCCTGGAGAGCTGGCCAGATTCCTGACTCCATGCCTAAAATCTGGGGGAAAAAAAGAAAGAGGACGGTTTTAAACAAGGGGCTGGCTGGAAGTATCTCTGAGCACCCCAGCAGCGCAGGGATGTGAAATGGGGACTGAGATCAGCCCCGGGGACGGCAGGAAAACTGTCCAGCCTGGTTTTGCACCATGAAGAGCAACGCTGCTGCAAACAGACTGCCGGCGCAGGCACATGTTGGCGGTGGGAATAAGGTACTTTGGAAGTACCTACAGCACATTCCTGGGTAACAGCAGCGACGTTAGAGCAAGGGGCACTTTTTAAGGGGGGGTCTGATCCTCGGCCATCCCAAGGAAGGGGTGAAGCCGGTGGAGCTGCACGTATTTAGCCCGCCGGAGACCCTCCCCAGGGTCCTCGCTGGCACTGCAGCGGGAGAGGCGGCAGGCAATCCTGGACACGCCGCCTCGGCAGCTGCTGGGAACATCCGGGCTCCTGGCACACCATCTGCTTTTGCATTGTCCC